GTTTAATCCAGCAACAGACACAGGGTTTACTACATGGGATGCATGAAAAGCAAACCCATGCTGGGTTGCTTGCAGGCTGCCAGGCTTGGCCTCTCATTCAAAGGTACTGAGCCCCTTATTGGAGAATCTGACATCAGGATGGGGTTTGCTGCTGGGGGCCTTGAATTAACCCTTGCTGTAGATCCCTGTTCTTCCCTCCAGTATGCAAGCAAGACCCCTGACACCCCCACTAGATCCAACCCAAATCTTGAGGCATCTCTTGGAAAACTTTTCTTAACGTCCAATTTTGTGCAAGGTATCTCTCTGTTATGCCAGAACTAAGATTGTGCATTTTTAAGCAGAGACCCGCATCTCATAGGTCAATGGCAAATCACTACGTAAGTTATGATCTTGTTATTGCAACTGCGTGCACTAATTTAAAATTTTCCACTATTGAAGCATACGAACATTTTGCAGCTTGTTGTCTCTGAGGTTAGCTATTGACAAAGTCAATTTGGACGGCGCTGGAGGGCTACCATAAATCATTTTGGACTGAAAAAGCATAGATCAGGGTACTTTCTAAATGGTATGGGGTTAAATGCAGCGCATGTTCAAAGAGACTGGGGTTCAGGTGCACAGATGTTTAACATGTCATGAAGAGGTTCAGAAAATAATCAAGGAGACTAATGGAATGCTGGCCTTTTTATCTAGAGGACTGGAGTACAAGGACTTAGAAGTGATGCTGCAGTTATACAAAACCCTGGTCAGACCCCACTTGGAGTTCTGTCAGCAGATCTGGGAACCACACCTTAGTACAACATAAGTTTAAAAGAATGATACCTGCATTTGTGAGGTTATTGTACAACAATAATAATGTTATTACAATAATAACAAATTAGGCTTGTTTTCTATAGAATTTGTAAGGTTAAGGGGTGATCTGATCGAAGTCTTCAAGAAATTAACAGAAAAAGACAGGGTACATAAAAAAAAAATTTCTACTGGTTGGAGATTCTAGAACTCAGGGCATAGCCTAAAAATTAGGGCCGGACCATTCAGGAGAGATATTAGGAAGCACTCCTACACCAAAGGATGGGAGGTGTTTGGAACTATCTTCCACAAATGACAGTGGATGCTAGATCAGTTATTAATTTTAAATCTGAAATAGTTTTTTTGTGAAGCAAGGTATCAATGGATTTGGGCCTAAGGCAGGTGTATGGAGTTGGGCCACAGATCCGCTGTGGTCTCATTGAATGTTAGAACAGGCGTGGGGGGGTCTGAATGGCCTACACCTGTTCCTATGTTTCAACCCCTAATATGTAACCCTAGTCTTCCTTGGAGCTGAGAGGAGAAGAGAAAGAAGAAATGAAACAAATTAATTTAATAAATGGAAAAAAAACTGGAGTAGACCATGATTAAAATTTAGGCATTAACCCAAGGTACAGAAAGCACAGAAATTAATGACATCAACAACTGGGCTTTCTGAAAGGGCTGAAAAGCCTTTTCCTGTCAATTCTTATCTCTCGACCTGACACGTGCTGCCTGTTGTGGAAATCGATACATCTCAGCTTGCTATGAAATATAGGTGGGCTCAAAATGTATTTCTTTGTTTTCAGAAGGGCATTTTACATGAACCTAGCCATATCTGTCTTAATATAATTGACATGCAAATAATTGCAGTAAGAGAGAACACTTGTTACTGAGCTAACAGAACAGACTGTAGCAGTTACTAAGCTACTGTTTCCAAGTGTCGCTATTAAAACCAAATGCTAAGTTTATTTAAAATTCCAACCTTTTCTTTCTTTGATGTAATATGTACAGCTTCATAGAGCATTTATTAATGGTGCAAACCTGAGAAAATTTATCTCTCAAAATTGTTGCATTGGCTTTACCTGAGAATATGAGAATCACATCTTAATCAATTTTCATTGATCTTGTTCTAGAACATTCTAGGAAACTATTGCACACTTCAAAATGCAGCTTATTCACTTCTTTTTATTTGAAGCAATTGGATTTTAAATCATGGTTTGTAGCACGACAGCATTCTGTAGTCAATGTGGGAAGTCATTGTATAAAATAGCCCAATGTCGATTTGCAATCAAGGCTCAATCATAAAGTGTTAATATGTAACTAAATCCTCTATCCCTCCATCCCTCTGCCCTTGACTTTACTTAATTTTTGAGTCTATTTTTGAAGGTTATTTTACTATTTACTGCAAGACACCCCACACCCCCACTGTCTATTTTTTGTTCTTTTCCTGGATAATGTATATTTTTGTTGTTGAGAGGAGGAAAGTAATTTGCCATCAGCAATTCTGCAGCATTCTAATATAGTGCAAGATTCACCTTTGGATATTGTTTCTAATTTTCTTTAGTGACGTAAACAGGGAGCTTACTGTGCCAGCAATGACAAACTCCTTCTCCTTAAACACAGTGGTACAGCACACATGTTTGGCAATGCTGTCCTTGAGTTGATTTTTTTTAAGATCCTAGAGGTAGTTCCAGGTTTGTGTAACTGATATAGAACTCTGATATACATGAATTGTTACGTTGGTTTCCTTGAAGCAATTATTCCATGATCCATAAGTATTTTGTGCATTTTCTTCATCTCAGAGTCTGTCTGCTTATATATCTTTAATTTGTTCTGCAACTCTCCAACATTTAGTTTTAATTCTTTCTTTATTGCTTGCAGTTCATTCAAATATATCTTGTCAGTTGTCATGCTGAATGTTGCAAATTAGATTGTGGCGATGAACTAACACAATTGTCTCAGTTCTGAGAGGCATCATTTTACTTATGAAACCCTTAGTTTCTCATTCCTTCATAGTGACAGCATTTGACAACCAAAATTTTTCAATGAAGAAGGAATTGAACGGGAGAATGAGGATCAAGAATGATTTCTATTTTGGGGAGGGAGGCAACAAAATACTGCACATGTTATACTTGGTAAAGCAGATTCTAGGAAGGGCTGCAATTAGAATTGATAGAAGGAACTGGACCGAGCGGTAAGAGGTGAAAAGACCACACTGTATTGTAATTGAACATTAGGAGGTCAATGGAGTGATTCAGTTATAATTGGAGTGGAAAAGAAATAGGACATCATTCATGCTCTTAACTTGATATAATGGAAGAGAAGTGACTGTAGAATAAAAATATATATTTGACCTTCATTTGCCAATCTAAATTCCTTGTGATGTAAAAATGCGTATAGATATCTGGACTCCAACTCAGCTGGAGGAAAGCAGATGAAACATCTTGTAACTGCAGTTGAACTGAATGCTGTTCTTTTGGGCACAAGTCTTTACAATTAAACACCTTTCAAGTTTGAAATTTCAGTTGGGTGTTGTTCAAAGTGAAGAATGCCAGTGAACATTAAAATGTAATCTGCCCTGCAACTGCAGAAAGTCAATAAAGCAGGACTCAGACTCAGTGATTCAATGCTGACCCCCATGAGTACTTTCAAAAAACAACTTGTCTGTAACTGGATAGAAGTATCGTACTTTACATTGAAAGCAATATTCTATCTTTAAATAGAGTACTGAAGACCAAGTATTGGAAGTAGCATAGAGCAGATGAAGTAATATCAGAGGACACATTAAGATAGAGTGATTGTTATTTGACTTACGTTCTGTTGGCCTAAGGAGATCTACAGGTAAAGTTCTCCTCAGTGTTGTGATCAACACTAACTAATTAAATAAAACTGAGTTTTAAATACTAACTAGAAGTAAAAAAAACAAAACTAGCCATTTTATTATGTCGCAAGAAGTAGCTTATTCATTCAAGTTGAACCAGCCTGTGGTATTTAATTATCCCTTATGTTTCCTCATTTGAGACCTGTAACATGGAAACAAAAACATATTCACTCTTTGGAAAAATACTCAGCCATATATAAATGGCTGGATTACTTCAAAATTCAGTTACCATTTTTCTTGCGGTTTCTTATTGTCCCTTTGAGTATTTTATTGGATTTCAGATGTATAACACTTGACACGATTGACATCACTATTTCTAATATAACTTTTCTATTTTTACTATTCTGCAATCTGATGGAGTGTTTTTGTTGAAATTTAAGTTTAATAGAGCCAGCACTCTTGAGGACCTAAGCAATGAAGACACTTAATCTGACTTTATGAAAGTACAGTTAGACTTGGAAGTAGATTAGTTCAAAGCAGATTTAACACATTTGGCCACGGAGACTTCTAGAAGATTAGTGAGCCTCTCAATTTCAGTCAGATTGTTGCAAGGATAGTAATCTGCAGGAGGTTGATCTCTCAGCTCTCTGATACATTAACTGGCTGACAGTGTGTAACAATATTGGCAAAGGCCTGAAATTAGTTTCCCTTTTTAACCATAACTGGTGGATGATCCAGGGGAGAAAGGATTTCTGCTTTCACACATAATAATATCCAAAGTTGAATCAAAAGGTCTGAATCACTATGAAATTACCATGTTGATGACCAACAGGGCAGAATATTTGATCGTGACTTGAGGAGTAATAAGTAACCAACCATAAATTATTTGTGTAAAGAAGACTTTAGGATTTTTCTGTTCTCAAGCTATATGTGTGGCAGTCTTCATAGAATCCTAGAATCCCTACAGTGTGGAAAGTCTTGATATTGTTTGCCCCAAGGAAAATAATAATTCAGAGATAGCAAGAACTGCAGATGCTGGAGTCAGAGTCAAAACAGTGTGGAGATGGAGGAACACAGCAGGTCAGGCGACATCAGAGGAGCAGGAAAGTCAACACTTTGGGTTTACACCCTCCGAATGAAGGGTGTAAACCCAAAACGTCAAGTTTCCTCCTCCTCTGATGCTGCCTGACCTGCTGTTTTCCTCCAGCCCCACACTAAAATAGTAATTCAAACTGGTTGTACCGCCAGTGGCTTATAATATTTGGTTTGTAGTTTTTATACTGCTGAATGTACTTAAAATGTTCATTGTAAATAATAAATCCAAGCTACCTTTACTTACTGTGTCTTTATCTTTCCCTTTATGTGCTGTTTTATTGATGGGAACGTGATACAGAATACACAGTGAGTACCCCATGTATTATTATATTGTTGATTGGTGGGTGAATGGTAAAGTATTTAACTAAATACATAAAATTAGTAGAGGAGCCCTTTAAGTATTCAGTTTGTTATTTCACATGAATCCAATTCTGACTTTTTTGAGGGGGGGGTAATTATCCAAATTGTTAACTGTTTCATCAGGTGTAGCCTGTGTGCTGTGTTTAAACCAAAGCAAGATCTTTAATTGTGTATTAGTTTTCCATTTTCCTTTATTTCGTAGGTTCAAAATAAATAGTTGGTTGATCAGATGGTAAATGAGTCATCCTTGTTGTAATGCCATATTGCTGTACCGAACCTTACAGACCAGATATACCACTAGTTGATTCCAAGGCAGAGTTTTCCCATGGAAATGAGAATCAGGAGTCGAGATTCAACAACATTTGTTGTTGAGAAAATGTTAGAATCTATGATAAAGGATGTAATAACAGAGCATTTAGAAAAACATAATAAAAATGCACAGAGTCAGCGTGGCTTCATGAAGGGGAAATCACACCTGACAAATTTATTAGTCTTTGAGGAGGTGCAAACAGGGTACACAAAGGGGAACCAGTAGATATAACATATTTGAATTTCCAAAGGACATTTGATAAAGCAAATTAATAAGATAGGAGCTCATGGTGTTGGGGGTAGTATCTTAGCATGAATAGAGGATTAGCTAACAAATAGAAGATAGAGAGTTAGAAGAAAAGGGGTGCTTTCAGGATGGCAACCTGTAACTAGTGAACTGCCACAGGGATCAGGGCTGGACCATAATTATTTACAATATGTATTGATGACTTGAATGACAATCACAAAAGTGAATGACAAAAGTCGAAAGGCAAATAGTGAGGATGATACAAAAGGTCTCAGAGGGATTTAGACAAGTTAATGGGAAGTGTAAGGTTATGCACTTTGGCAGAAAGAATAGAAAGCTGAATATTGTTTAAATGGAGAAAGATTGCAGAAAGTTGCAGTATAGAGGGATTTGGAGGTCCTCGTGCATGAGTCACAAAACACTAACATCTAGGTTCAATGGGTAATAGGGAAGGCAAATGGACTCTTGGCCTTTATTTCAAAGGGACTGCAGTATAAAAATAGAAAGGTCTTGCTAAAACTGTACAAAGTACTGGTTAGACCATAGCTGCAATGTGATAAACAATTTTTAGGAGCCTTATGTAATGAATGATGGTGGCATGGTGGCTCAGTGGTTAACGCTGCTGCTTCACAGCGCCAGGGACTCAGGTTTGATTCCACCCTCAGGTGACTGTCTGTGTAGAGTTTGCACATTCTGCCTGTGTCTGCATGGGTTTCATCCGGGTGCTGTGGTTTCCTCCCACAGTCCAAAGATTGCAGCTTAGGTGGATTGGCCATGGGAGATGCAGGGTTACAGGGATAGGGTAGAGGACACTCTTCAGAGGGTCATTGTGAATTTGATCCGCCGAATGGTCTGCTTCCACACAGTAGGGATTCTATAATTCTGTATACTGGCATTGGAGGAAGTGCAGAGAAGATTGACAAAGTTGACCTTGTTTAGGAAGGGATTTCTTATGAGGAGAGGTTATGTAGGTTGTACTTGGGGTTGGTGAATCTGTGGAATTGTTTACTGCAGAAGGGCTGTTGAAGATGGTCATTAAGTATATTCAAGACTTAAATAAACAGATTTATAATCAAAGGTTATGGGCTAAGAAAGGAAAGTATTGAAGATTATCAAATCAGGCATGTCTATAGACAGTTCTGAGGAAGGGTCTCTCGACCTGAAAAATTAACTCTGATTTCTGTCCACAGATGCTGCCAGACCTGCTGAGCTTTTCCAGCAATTTCTGTTGTTGTTCAATCCATTAACTGATTTGGTATTCTATCCATTATCTGATTTGGTAATGAATACATTAGATAGCTGGGGCCCCAGCACAAATACTCGCTGCACTACCACATCCTGTCAATTAAAGTGCCTGCCCTGTATCCCCTTACTCGTCTTCTCCACTCAGCCAGTTTCCAAACCAGGTCAGTCAATAACTTGCCTTTGTTCATTAGCTTCAAGTTGATTGAAAAATCTCTCATGATGGAGTTTACCAAATGCCTTCTGGAAATGAAAATAAATAACATGTATGGACATTTCCCTGGCCACTGCTTTAAATCCCTCTTCAAAAAGTACATTCAATTTTATCAAACATTACCTACCTTTTATAAATCCATCCTGGCTCCCTTTGATCAGCTAAAAATTTTCACTATGTGTGTTTAACCTGTCCTTTTGTACTTTCCTTATCAATTTTGAACTCTGCCTGTGTCTGAATTTATTCTCCTGTCATCATGGCTTGAGTAGCATATGCTTCCTTTGTAAAGACAGATGCAAAGTATTCACATAATACTTCAGCCATTGGTAAATATCTTTTCTTACTCAGTTCTTTTCCTCATCCTTCTACTACCTTTTAAATATTTATGTGCTTATTGAAAACATTTGGAGTCTGTTTTAATTATTTTTAATCAACTGTTCAGGCATATTGTGATATCTCTGGGGCAGGTGGGATTGAACCCAGAACTTCTGGCCAAGAGTTTGGGACACTATCACTCTCATATGATGCTTTGTCTCCCTCTTTTTAAATTATTTGTAATCTACCTGTTCAGATATGTATGACACATCTTTGGGACAGGTTGGACTTGAAACAAACCTCATGGTTAAAATCATTTTTAGAATCCATACAGCATGGAAACAGGCCCTTTGGCCCAACAAGTCCACAATGAACCTCAGAGCATCCCACCCAGACCTATTCCCCAAACCCACCTAATCTACACATCCCTGAACACTATGGGCAATTTAGCACAGCCAATCCACCTAGCCTGCACATCTTTGGACTGTGGGAGGAAACTAGAGCACCTGGAGGAAACCCACGCAGACCTGGGGAGAACATGCAAACTCCACACAGACAGTTGCCCAAGGGGAATTGAACCCAGGCCTCTGGCGCTGTGAGGCAGCAGTGCTAACCACTGAGCCACCATGCCACCCTTACCTACAATCTCCTGATTAATCATATCATGATATCCCTGAGAAGGTGAGTCTTGACCCCAGACCTTCTGGCCCAGAGGTAGGGACATTACCATTGTGACAGAAGGCCAAAAGTTTTTTAATCAACCTGTTTGGAAATGTTATGATACAACTCAGGACCACTGTGTCACGAGACCTTTGTTCCTTCTTTATATATCCAAACACCAATTAATAAATTATCAGCTATCATCTATTTTCCTACTGATTTTATTTTACTTAACTATATTGACACTTAAAACAATCTGAGCATCTCAACTGGACAGTTATTTTGTAAATTTACCAAGAGATACCTCTTATCTATCGTACAATAATGAGACATCAAATGACTTTGTAATGAACAAGAAATTATTTCTCTCCGTGACCCTTCAGGTCTAATGGCACAAGTAATTTTAGTAGATTTCTGACACTAGCATGCTGCTTTCAGCTATCAGTTTTTTTTCACAGAAATCTGCAAGGGACTAGAACAGTTACAGTTAGCCATGCATGAAAAGAAAGATTTTGCCTTAGCTTCTGTCAATGCACATTTAATCATCATAGTTTACAAAGGGGACATGTTTTATATCCTAGGGAACCATAACATATTTAACATCAATTTTTTGAACAAGTTGCAGATATAAAACCTGTCTGCAATATCTTTATTTCCAAACATGGAAAGCTCTGGAAAGGTTCAGAGATTTCAGAATAGTATCTGGTACATGGTCAGATAGAAAAATAGCGCAATGCTAAAAATAATTACAAGACAGTGGGAAATGATTTTCAAGACTACAAGGTATTATCAGAAATGAAATCCAATGACGTGGATAAATTGCTTGGATTTCACTCTGGCAATTTTAACGTCATCAATAAGATTACAGTCCTGTAATCATTACCTACCGTCTGTTATTCTCTACAATGTTGACCCCCTGTTCTGCATTCTTCACAATGTTATATCTAAAGTTAGAGTACTTTGAACACTGCACTCATTACTGTCCTCAACAACCTTTCTCTCTTTGTGACTCATTGTGAAAAGAAGGAACTTACTATTATCAGATAAATATCTCGTTAAAAGAGTCATCAAAATAGTACTCAAATTCAAACGAACTAGATAATAACCATGTTCAAAAAAGCAATTTAATTTTAATAGTGTCAGAATTGCTGCTCAAAGGAGAAAAGTGAGAAAAAAGCCCATTTCCTGTTTGATTTGTTTCTACTGTGGAACTACGAATGCCACTGAAACTGTTTTTGCTGAATATTCAGTTATTATAAGAATGGGCATAATATCTAATGTAATTTACCAGTAACGTATTTCAAAAACATGAGAATGAAACATTTTTTGTTAATAGCTGAACAAGAGTTTGAAACAGAAGTTCTTGATCATTATTTTCTGGACATTATAAATATTTAAATAAAATTAAAATACTGTGAATTTAAAATAAAAACAGGAGTGTTGGAAAAGCTCAGCAAGTCCGATAGCATCTTTAAGGATAGAAACAGAGTAAATGTTTCAAATCCAGTATGAATCTTCTTCAGAAGAATATCATAAATATTGAAGCTGATAAATGTTTGGTCAGAAATATTTGGTCTAAAAATGCTTTAAGCTAGTGAGTATTCACGTTGTTAATTTAAGATTTACTCCTCAACATGTATGCCAAGTATAACAATGTGATATTCAAAAATAAGAGTTTACATTTTTCATATTATCAAATCTGATTATCAAATCAGTGCCTATTTTTTGAAAACATATTCAATGCAGGTGATGGAAAAGGGGTGGGGAAAGTGTGTAGATAGATAGGTGATGTACTATTGAGCCTCATTTAGGTTTTCTTTACATGAGACGCATTCCTGCATCCTTTTAAGCTTCATAGTCATGTGCAACATCTAGGTAATCATATTGGGACCTCCTGTAAGCTTGCAAATTTTTGTTTTGTTCTTTTCCCCTTCTATTTCACTCTCCCCTCCCTCACTC